TTTGGAAATAACTTTGTGCTAAGCTGTATGAGAGTTCATTGTCAAAATAAAAATTGATGTCTAATTGTCTTTTAAATTGGTTTTTCAGGATTTATAAATTTACATTTTATTTAAGAGAAAACTAAAGTTGTAGGTTCTTTTTTCCTCTCTATTTCTGTCTTCTCTTTTTTAACCTCTTGGAATATGAGGACAACAAAATCGTGGTGTAGAGTTTTTGTTGTCCCATTGTTCTTCTTGCCTGGTTTAGTTAGTAAAGGAAAACAAGTGTTTTCATTTTTTGTCAAGTACATAATAAATGTAGTAAAACTAGATAAGGAAATATGTGAAGAAAGCGAGTTGGACTGTGTGTGATGGCAAGTGGTGTTTGATAAATGATAGATGCTTTTGAGTAGTTAGAAAGTTTATTACATACTATGTGATGTTGATTTGAAAATACTGAAAATTAGACATTTTTACTTTAATCCATCTAATCTAACATTATTATTATTTTTCAAATTTAATTTTTATTTTTTTTTAATTTCAGGTATCAATATTAGAATGGCTATTGAATGACTTTCAAATCCTTTTAACTTTGGCAATTTTTAGGGTAACAATTTCATTTTTAAAATTGTTTTTGTTAATATAATTGATGACTTTTTACATTAATCATCTTTGCAATAACTCTTTGATTTACCTACATTCAACCATTATATGAATGCGATGATTTTTGTTTGACAACTTATTTGGGTAAGTTGGGTCAAAGAATGGATTTTACTTGACTTAGGTTTGAATGTGTACTATATATGCCTTTCAAGTTTTAAGCTTCACAAACAGTATGAGTGGCGGGAAGAAAAGTGCCTTTAGGCATGGGTGAAAAATATTGTTGAAATTATGCACCAATTATATAGATAAAATTATATAAGCACGGGTGAACCCAATTACTGTAATAAGGTAATTTTAATCTCAAAGTATTTTGATATATAATTTTTTGCTAATTTATATTTTTTTTCCTAATCCAATAAATGTACTAATCTATATATTTTTG